TCTGATGACGCGATGAGCGAGGAATAGTAGTTAGTCCTAGCCGCCCTCATCGCCACTAGGTAGGATCTAACATGTGTCCTAACCTGTGTTCGGTCGGGTTCGGTTCGGCTGGCCCTCCAGCTGCTCTCTAGGCTTCTTTTCCGACGTTTCATCTCTCTCAGCTCCTCGGTGAACCAGGGAGCCAATCGAGACCTACGTCAGGTCAGAGGCCGCAAAGGCACGACTCGGTCCAAATAAACAACAAAAAGATGATGAAAACATGGGTTTCAAAATATACCTCCGTTCTTAAAATTATAAAACTCTTGCTACCATCTGGCTCACTTAAAATTTCAGAGAAGAAATGATACAGATAAGCCTGTATTACTGAGAGATAGGAAATGAATCTGTCATAAATGAACCTATTTAAAAATAATTAGGTTTAAATTGAGAAAAGCTGCATCATGGTCCTAATCCCATTCTAAACGTCATTCGACTGGCACAGTTCAAGTTACTTGTTCCATTTGTTTTGTGTTTTTTCATCCAATGCTAATGCTTTCTCCACTTGTGGAAAAACATAAATCAATAAACCAGAAAGGCAACATTATAGTGATTACCTGATGCTCTAATTGTTTTTGTCGTCGTCTCCCTCGTTCCTCAATTTGAACAGGATCCAGAAGAGCAGTCATTGAACGAAGGTAACTATCAGCAGAGGAGAATTTGGTAAGATACATACACAAATTGTAGCTCTTTGTCACAAAACACCACATCTTTTCATAGAATCTCCATCCTCCTATTTTTACCTCCCCCCCCAATATTTTCCAGGGCCACTTTTTCACATTTAATTATGGGACTAAGAGATCTGAAGTAAGTTATAGGAGGCCTAGTTCTACCTAAAGAAGTTGAAAACCAACAAAGAAACAGATAATGTTAGCAAAAATAAAACAACATTAATTTAATAGAGCAGATTTTAAGTTTCCTAGGATTTTTCAATAGAGGTCTATATACCTGCCTCAATCAGAAAATTCAGTTCTATAGTCCTTGTTACCCTAACAATTTGCAGCCAGCTCTTGAGTGGAGAAAAAATAAACTTCTAACTTCCTTTCCCAGTCTGAATTCTCCCCCACCCTTAGTGGAGATGGAAAAATACAATAAAATACTTGAATTTGTCAGCTACCTGCCAACCCCCTTAATCCACAAACATTCAAAAGTATTGTAAAAAGGCCCTATGACATTTCAGGAGACCAGAGACTATATGAAAAATAATTTCACATAAGTAGCTTTATTCCCTAAGAAGTACATATAGTTAAAATGAGACAAATCTCAAGAAAAAAAAGATATTCTACAGTAATGCATATAAATAGAGTTGTAACTATAACTACAATTCATTTATTGAAAGAACAGTTTTATAGATTATGCTAGTTAATGCCTGGTTGCAACCTGGAAGGAAAAGTTTAGGCAATCACCTGGCTTTTTGATTTGGCTCTGAAATATAGTTTCCAACTGTTTTTCCTGGAATCTCTATCTCTGTCGGCGTGAGACAAGACAAAGGTGAAGTTGTACAAGCTGTATGGTCCTGGGAGAGCTGTATAGGCTCAGGAGTCTTTTGATATGTTGTATTTAAAGGATATTGTGCAAATGAATTCATATGATTCTTGAAAGAATCAAAATGCATTGTCCATTTGTCATGCTCTTCACCCTAAAGAAATACAAAGAAAATAGTATTTATATATATGTCCACATTTTCTCTTATGAAGCTCAAGCAAAAGTATTAGGTGCACAACAGAAGCACAGAACAGCGTGCTTAGCTGTTAGACTGAAGCTCAGAAGCTTTCTTAAACGTTGGACTATTAGGGATCAGCCCTATTATTTAGGTACCTGCAAGGACTGATCAATATAGATAAATAGGGAGACCAAGTTAGGATCCCACAAATCTAAATTAGATTTCAGAATACCACTGGGAACTGACCCAAGGAACAGATCAATCCAAAAGCTTTGTCTCTTATCAATTGTTCCATAAATTTGGATGTCTGAAGTGACAGCAGGAGGCCAGTCAGAAAAAGGCTCTGAAATTATGGGCAAGAGATCTGAATCTCTAAAGTGGATATTAAACAGGGCCATAGAAATATTCATCCCCCATCTTAAGTGGACTGAACACTCTGCCTAATCTGGGGGAACTGTTTTGATAATTTATAACCAAAATACTGGGACTTTTCAGATGGCTTGTGCCAATTTCTTCCAAATAGCCTTTTGTATTTCCATTTTTCTCTTTTTTTCCATAGGGCTATACTTGTTTCAGGACACAGATGTAAAGAATGTTCATTAGTGAGCTTCAGGGTCTTGGATGCTCCAACAACTTTGACTAGTTATGAGGCATATTTTGTTGAACCCAGGAGACAGAGAATTAGGACTGAATTAGTATAATTAAGTTATTAGTATAATTAGTATAATATTATAAGTATAATATTACATCTCAAAAATTCCAATGAAATATATTAGCCTATATAGGCATCCTTCACAGACTGTTTGAATTCAGAAATGTTTCATGTATTGACAAACTGTTTAGAAGCATTTATAGATTTCACTGGACCATTTCTTTGGAGGGTTCTTAAACTGAGAAACCAAGATTATGTATGATAGTTGGAATCTTTATT